CTTCGATACGACGCTCGCGGTTGCCTTGCTGACGAGTGCCATGGAGATTGTGAAGTAGAGTTGGTTGGTGTATGATCTCATACCAACAACCTTTCACACTAGCAAAAGAATAAGAACGAAGGAGTTTGCTTTGATACCATGTTGAAAGTAAAAGTTGAACTCGATATTAGATAAGTGAGAGAAGAATCCCTTAAATAGTAAAGGTGATAAGGATAGTCGAGAACATCGACCGTCAGTATACCAGCCTAGAAAGAAGGGTAAGACGACTAAGAATCCAACACAAGATTATCCTAATCTGATCACTACACTACACTCAGTAACTAAATATTAACAACAGTAGCTTGGTTGCTACATGATCGGGTCTTTCAGGTTAGAGAAGGGTGTTTCTCCATTCCGAGCAATTTTGTGCTTCAAGATGACAAAAAATAGCTTCCTTATGTTGTTGGTACTGTCAAAAGTTTTCCCACATCGACTCCAACTAGACCCGGTTTTTCCGATAGGGTTGAAGGTCAAACCTGACCCGAGCACTCATTTCAACTTAGGAAGCTGTGACATTAATGCTACCATGGTGAAGTATAGATGACTGAAATGTTAAACCAATCGTCATAAATCAAAATGTGTGGATGCAATACTTATTCTTCTTGATGTCATATAAAAATCATGATGTTACGAATAATAGAAAATTCGAATTCACCGTTAGCTTTCAATAAAAGAAGAAGTTAAACAAAATATATATTGATGATATTTTTTCAAGGTGTTATATCTTCGTTAATAATTGAACGCAATTTCTAGTTTCCTGTCCATGGTGGTACTATTAGGTGCATCATGTCCCTGAAAGTGCATTTTGATGCACATGTTGGATTGTATGGATATGTTTAGGCTTTAAGCTTTTGGCAATGAATTCAGTGGAATGAATTTATTGTTTTCAACACATCCCAAAAAGTATGTAAAAAAATTGTTGATCCATTATGATTTCTAGAGTGACTCTCATTGTCTAGCACCCACAAGTTATGAAGCTATCCGAGGTTGATCTAAACTTATCGTTGGATATATCTTTGTTTGTCCACGGTTTGTATGGTCTTTGCCATGTCATTTCTTCTTCCATTTGTTGTCTACCGATCTCGAAATCTCTTTCACACAGTATTTAATATGTGACGATCCCAAGTGCATTCATAGTACAGAACAAAATGTTGGCTGGAATGATTTTGAAGACAGAACCCCTTCAGCTCAGGAACATACTCCTTTTAGAAGTTCAACGAACAAGGCTACAGTGAAGGATCTTTAGTACATTACTTGGAGTAATATAGCAAGAAGGATCTTCAGTAAGCTTCTGACATTGCTCCGTCTGTCGCACCATGTCGTGTACAGTGGAATATCATTGAAGACGCGAATCTTTAGCTTACGAGCATGAGAGCATCGGGAATTGAAATTTAAAGTTAGTAAGAGTCCGTATGTTTCAGGTAAGTCTCCACATTCACAAGAAACGACCGTCTCTGCAGTAGAGTGGTGAATATAGCACTGTAGCTGGAACGTGCTTAAGCCTGAGTAATGAATCTACACGATCTGAGAGTTCTTGCAGTGGCTTCTGGATCTTGTAGTGGACGTTATTTGCAGCTACTGCTTTCCTTTCAGCCCTGTGCTAGATGGGACAGCAAGCTAGTTTGATGAAGAGAACTACATCAGCCTGAATCTGATTCAGAGTCAGGCTGAGACCGATATGGAACTGCGTACTTTTGTTTTGGTATCTGTTTCGGCTTTTGTGGAGTACTAGGCTTTCCACCAGGTACTTCATAATAACATCGAAACCCACTCGACGTCACTGTGAAGTTACAACCTATCCAACATTTCCAGGTGCATTCGATGCAATATCTTACACGAGCACACTTCAGCGAAGGTACAGTTCAACTGGCCGAGGATAAAGGTCAATGATGAAACTTTGCGCAGATATCCTCAAATTGTGCAAGGGCTGAACATTGGAGGAGGGCATTTAGAGTATTCAAAGCTTTCTCGTTCTCCACCAAAAGAACTTTCACTCACTCGTTCTTTTGGTGGAGAACGAGTGAAAGACGCCACGTATGCATTGTAGTAGAACTAGACAGAGTTTCAGTTTATGACTGATCAGAGGTATCTACTCTATGATGTGCTCGCATTTAGTAGACCATATACAAAAGATTTAGGTACGGATAAGTAGAGCTCACAACACTGCCTGGTTTGTTTACAGTCCTGGATTCAGAATATTGTTGTGCCTACCACCATAATGTCTTAAGGGGTTGGACGGCATAGGTAGTTGATATCAGTTGACAAGCATTCCTGGGGTAGTACCAGAGTCAGGCAAAGGAGCTGTTTTGAAGTGCCCGGACCTTTCTATTTGTTTGACCTCATTTTTTCGGGAAAAGTCAACTACCGGCCCTGAACAACTAACTGCATTGAAAATTACTCGACGATGTTCGAATTATTTTGCTCGCGTTGAGAACCAGTCTTACCATGCCATTCGGACTCGGTTAGAGTCATGGACAGCTAAAACGGCGTGTCTACGCGGGTGAGATAAATTTCTCCCCCAGTCGTCGAGATTGAGGCTTGGCAACGTGGAAAAGCTGAAATCGAGGTCTTGGTATGATAATATTCGAGTCCTTGTTGAACCGGTGGGCCGGCTTGAGTGGTTGCAATACAGTAGATACTTTTTTCGAGGGATCGTTTAGACGACATCAAACGATAGCTTGTTCGCGTGGACAATCGACCTTAGCTGGATTGGGTGATTGTAAAATTAAACAATGCTCAAGGAGGTTCTCAAATTCAACTCTTCTCCAGATTTGTGATTATGCATATGCATGGTTGCACGTACCACCAGTCAGAGCAGTTAGTTCCAGTCATGGAGCTGGTATAATAATACATGGATCAATACTAAAATGGCAGACACTTGTGAAATTTAGGAGGAGAGGAAAACTGTTCAAAAATTCAATCTACTAAGTTCTGGGAGAAAAAGTCGGAGACAGTACTAGGCAGTTATACGAGCTCGAAAGAAATTATGAAAAAAGACAGATTGTGCAGTTCAACGCTTTCTATATTTTATTTTGAGTTCGCATCTCAGAATTCCGAAAGCTGACTCAAAGGCTGTCCACCTGTAGCTGGTTCGCATGTATAAGGAACTATTCTTTCTCTGAACGTAAAGCCGTGGGATTCCACAGTCATTTGCAAACATCTGAGACGGTGGTGAGGTCATTTCCGGTGAATGTATCCTTCCGCATACAAATCCACTGTTTACTGTTAACAGCAGTAAACAGGATAAACGAAATAAACGGGAGCTACAAAGCATATGTAGGCACAGTAGCTGAATCTCATCTTGGTCACAAAAGCTTGCAGTCGACTTTGAGCTCCGATCGGGTGGTGGTTTTATCATAAGAATGTTTGCTACATGTCAGTACTTCTGAGGGCAAAACTATCAGAAGATCCTTTTACAAGCACTTGTCACACCCTCAATTACATGGTCCGAGGTCTACTAAAATGGTCTATAAGTGATTGGACTTTGTTACAGGATGATGATAGCAGGTTCTTGCGTAGGTCTGTAGTTTGCCGGTCAGAGACAAGGGATCGTATACCTTGATCACTAGCTCAAAGAGCGGATTTTTTCAAAAAACACATGTAAGGATTCAGAATGTGGTCTCCAATCGGTAGCGTCTGCGGCCTGCAACTCTTTATTTTACACTTTTTGGGTTCCGTGTGCAAGTAAACTACTCCGCTGCTTTTTAGGTTCGTGGTCCTAGCAATCGAAAATGATAACCCGAGTTCCGCTGTCGGCAACTGCTTCCAAGACCTCTCCCTCAAAGAGTGGTCAACAAACATACCTTCGAATGAGGAACATATGAAGAATAATCTAGGATCGACAAAGATTACGTACGAACAGGAAAATGCGTCAAACACTCGTCGACATCCAAAAAGAAGTCCCTGTTGTATGGAGTGAACAGCCATTGCTGAGGTGGTGTGCGATGCATCGACATTAAAAACACACATGCATAGTCTTGGTCAATTTCTGATCTGAGTATAGTTTTATGTGCTCACAGGACTGGAAGGGAAGTCTCATGCCTCCTAGGTATCAGTTACTACCCTCATTAATAATCTGCAGTCTTAGAGCACAGTCAAGTGTTTTATCGACGTTGAACTTCACGTTCATTTGCAGAGAACATCCGTCTGCCAAAACAATACGTACGATAGAAATCGCTTTTGTATCCGATTTGTTTCTGACCATCGTGTAGATGAAGTGGTGATTGGAATTCGTTATGCAGTCACACTGGTAGTATTTGCAAATCACGGGTTTTTGGGTTCTCGACGACCTCAGCACCTCTGAACGACCATAAAAATACTCGACTTGAACCAAGTGGCGTTGGCTCTGCTAATGCACATCAAATTCTGTATTTCGTAACCTTGTATGGCAGATCACTGGAAACAAATGTCTCGGAGATCTGGCTTCCAAAGCTGCAATCTCGGTGAAATTTCAATGAGCTGCTAAATTAAAGGTCTCGTTGGTAGAGGGCATTTTAACTGTGTAGACTCGCTGACGGGAATGCTTCACGAATCTCTCATAACATGCGATGTCTGTTTTGACTCGAAACTCCCGATGCTTGAAGATAAAGTTTGTTGAAGCCGTAAAAAAGAACGTTGGCTCCACCTCCCGTCCATGAGATCACAGATGTTCTACCAACCCGCGCAGCCAGCCGTCCAAAGCTCCACAATATGCACTTTAACCAGGAAACCATATCTTCTGAGGCCTGCACACATATAGATGATGAGTTCTTTTGGAGGTTTGTTACAGCTTGCATGCCAAGTCAAGTGATGCCCAGCTCCAAACCAACTCGAGGTATCGCATCAAGAGAGCATAGGAACGGCGCTCGGAGGTCCCAGCTTTAGATGCCAGCTAATTACACCCTCTTTTGTGACATAATATATTCTTATCTCTGTCAGTGAAGCAGTTATATAGACCGGATGCCTCGAGAAGAGTCTATTTGCCGTAGGTGGCAAGCATAACATCATGCTTGCCACCTAAAGTCTAGTCTAGTCTATCCTAGCCCGGGTGAGGGTCCGAAGTTACTGAATCCGAGTGTAGAAAGTACGAGATGAGTTTCCCCTGTAGGTGTATGTGCTGAGGTAAGGTGAGCCATTGTTAGTCCTAATTAGGTGGCATTCAACTTCGTGATGGCTGTCAACAAGCGCCGAAATCGAGCTAATTTTAATCAGTTGATCATGCAGAAACTCCGGGCAAATCACTGCGCGGAGAGTCTGAACAAGCTCGAACTCACTCACCTGGATGGAGCTTTAATAGATTGTGAACTGCTTGCAACTGAGGAAGACGGTCTGGAAGTGGTTTGACATGGACCCACAACGCAAGCAGTTCAACACAATAAAGAGCTCGGAGGGTTTTTATGTCGGTGATGAAGACAGGCGATCCTGAATATAATTGGTGCACACTTTGCATTGGCTACTGCATTATCCCAATCTCCTATTCCGGGGGTTCTGACGGCGAGAACTAACTCCGGCCCCACTTTGTTCGTCCCTAGCGAGCAAGTCGAGCTTCAAAGTTTATTCTTCTCCTCTTAAATCGTGGCCATTCGGTTTGCAAAGTTGCGAGGCTTTGTCTATATATGGCAGAACCAGGCCAACCAGGTGGGGTTGTGACAAACCGAGTGCGCTTTCCCCGCACCGTAACGTGTTGCGTAATGACGCCATCGTACGAGAATCCATCGATGAGTGCCGTGCAGTCGTCCTTGCGCAGTCCAACGCATCTTCCTCTGGTTTGATCAGTGATCACTTCCATCTAGAGGCCCCTGCTTCACCCCTCGACGGGATGCCGCCGGGTCCATGATCTTGCTATACGGAAAGTACAGTAGCGGACGAGGCTGAATTTGCTAGCGACGGGTTCAAGCTGGTGGAGATCAGAGGACTCAGGTACTGACTCCTGCATGTTCACTGTTGAGAACGCATCGGTTATGTAGTAGCTGCTTGTTCATGTGATGGAGACCGAACGTTCAGCTCAGAGATTGTTTGGTCTGAAGAATGAAGCTCAAAACGTGAACCTCAATTCGTCATAGTTGGAAGGAGTGTAACAAGCCTGGGCAGCATGCAATTCTTGAGAGACCGTAATCGGGGTGCATTGCATGCGGTGCCGGCGAGGGAGGAGAGAGGGAGGAGTCATGTGCACAGAGCCGATTACACGGTTACGATGAATGCATGACTCTGTATGCGGATTAGTTACACTTTAGTTGTGAATGCGGGAACAGAGCTGCGTCTTGCTTCTAGCCTGGATGGAAATCGGACTGATGATTTGGTGGTGGATCAGGTGCAAGCAAGGACGATTGTTGCTGCGGACATCCAAGTGGGGTGGCTCAGCTGGAATCAAGAAAATCAGGACACAAGAAACCGCAGGCTGAACTGATTCTTGGAGGTGAGATAACTGCGTCCACTTTTTGCATGCAGCTCGATTGAACTATGAGTGGCGGAAGGGGTCATGATTAGACGTACCCTGTACGCCGGTGCATCTCATGTTGGCATTCACGTGTTTGGAGTTGGACAGGTTGTAATTGAAAGCTTGCGGGACATTTCTTGCTTTAGCCACGTAGTTCATTTAGGGGCATCCGTGACTGTTTCCGGATATGTAGAGATTGGAATGTAGATTGAGCTTATTTCGTATTTGACTATGACAATTGTGACTGGCAGGGACGGGGCATTGGATACACATTTGTAGTCATGACAGAAGCAGCTGCCGAGGTGTCCAATAAACCAGTTGATGTTAATCAAACAGCAGTAGACGAGAAAGAAGTAGAGGACTTTCTGATCAAAACAGCAGAGACAGAACCAAGAGATGATGCTTCAAAGGAAACAATCGGTCACTTTATCGAGAACGGTTCAAAACACGGAGAACAGAAACCAGATGACAATGTGAAGGAAAAGGATCCTACTGGGACATTTACAGGAGTAGATAGTGCCACTAAAGATGATGGTAAAGAACCATCTTTGACAACTGGTGATGTAAGGTTGGAAGGTACTAGTACCGAAGAGATTGAGTTTCTTCAGTCCCTGGAGGAGCCTTTGGATACGAAATCAGCAACTATGGTCACCCATGATTCTGAACCCGATCAAAGTGAGCAGTCGCAGAGAATCCTAGAAAAGAAGAATGAGGAGGATGAAATCGTCGATGAACAGTTAGTCAATGCTCCAGCAGGAATTAATGAACAGGAAGAAGGAAAGCTTAGTAGTCCTTTGGAATCCGATGGACTGGTTTCGGACGAACTCGTAAGTGTTTCTGGAAGAGCCGAGGAAGAGAAGGTTTCAGATGTGGTTTCACAGAATAAGGTTCCTGAGAGCGAGGCGGACCCACTTCCAACTGCGGGGCAGGAAAACACTTCAGGAGAGGTTGATTCAAGTAAAGCCAGTGTCATGGGTTCAAAAGGTGTTGGCGAAGAGGCTGCAACCGCAGTTGATGATGTTGAACCTATAGCCAGTCACCCTCCTGACGCGTCGTTAAGTCAAGACGTTGGAAATAATCTACCAGAAACTCTCGAGAAGACAAAACTTGACGAGCTCATACAAACTCACGAATCAAAATCATCTGGGGTCACTGCGGAAGATACCGATAAGAACATCGTTACAAGTTTGGATGGTCATGAAGAAGAGCAACGATCTGTGTCAACTGATAAGGATGTTCATGTAATTGCGGGCTCAGAGGAGGAAGGAGGTAAAGCCGATCTTTTCATCGCTAAGGATAATGATCTCACACAGAGGTTACCTGAGGATGTGCATGTAGCGGGAATAGATTCACAAGAAACTAGTGACAGTGGAGGAGTGAAAGAAGGGATTGTGGCAGAAGTTGATCCAAACGTTGAAGGTACAGGGCCCATGGCATCGAATGGAATCGATGAGGAAGTGGCAGTGTCAACGAGCGAAGTTGATGCAGATACAAAGCAGAGTCCAGGAGTGCTGGAATCTGTTGGAGATGGTGTTATAGCACTTAGCAGTGGAGTTCTTGCGAAGGCTAAGGAATATGCTGGGCTGGAGATAGTCAATGATACCAGTGCCCCAGCTTGCGAAGTGGAGTTGAAGCATAGCGCGGCAGTATTGGAACCAGGTGATACTACTAAGGACATTGTAGTAAGCTCAGGGCCTGAAGAAACAGATACGACCGAGGCAGAGGTTAGGACTGAAAATACATCAGACAAGAATGAACTTTCGGCACAAGCCGAACACGTTGCAACTCAAGAGAGGGGCTTATCCGAGTTCGAAAAGGAACGGGAAGAAGATCCGATCGTGGAAACAGTCAAGGACTCAGATATTCCAGTGCCAGAAGAGGAGCCAAAGCAAAATCCGGGAGTACTGGAATCAGTTGGAGACGGTGTTATTTCCATCGGCAGTGCTGTTGTTGCAAAGGCTAAGGGACTGGTTGGTTTGGAAACTGTCAGTGATCCAGAGGGTCCGCTTTCGGAGAAGGACCAAAATCAAATTTCGGGACTCACGGAATCAGATGGTAATTCTGAAGGATCTGCAAAAGAAGTAGAAGCTGGCGAAGTATCACCAGTTGATGTCGCCGAGGCAGAGGACAAAAGTAGACTTAAAGTGGAATATGGAGAAGACATCAAGGAAGAACTGAACGGATTTCAAGAAAAGAGCTCTACCGATGCAGGGAACCTGCTACCTGAAACACCAGTCATTGAGGATGTTATAGACACAGAGGATCCAGTCGCAGATGTTGCCAAGCAAGACCAGGGAGCATTTGAATCTTCTGGAGACGCTGTCTTGTCGCTCAGCACTGTAGTTCCCACAAGTGATTCGTTGGTTAGGTTGGAGAATTCCAAGGCCTCAGAGCAATCTATCTCGGAGGGCGAGGCAAGACAGAGCCTGACAGTAACAGATGAGAAAGTGGAAGAAGTTGCCTCAAAGGAAATACTCAATGAAACACCTCCTGTTAATGTTACCGATGCTGTTGAGGAGACTAAATCAAGATCGAAGGAGGAAAAATTCCCGACAACTGTCGATACAGTAGAAAGCCAAGAGACGAACTTCTCCGATGCAGGGGGCCATGTGCCTGCAGAATCAAGTTTGGGGAAAGTCATGGAATCCGAAACTTCAGTTTCGGAAATGGAGCCGAAGCAGAGCACGGGAATATTGGAGTCAGTTGGTGGCGGTGTGATGTCCCTTGGTAGTGTAGCCTTTGCAAGTGCGAAAAGTTTGGTTGGATTGGGGAAGCCAAGCTCCGACTTTGAAACAGCCGACGAATCCCAGAAAGAGTCTACCCAATCTATCGATGAGAAGGATACTCCTCTGGCCAGACCTGAGATAATTATGCCTGATACTACCACCACTGTACATACTGAGAAAGGATTACCAAGTCTCCCTTTAGTAGTTAAGGATGAATTAGAGTCAAACAGTGCACCGAATGATGGGGTTGCGAAAGAGCAGAAGGACAGTGGTAGTCTGGGTTCTGTCCAAGCTGATCAGGCTAAAAAAACTATCTTCTTCACTTCTGAGAAAGTATTACCAACACTATATAAACTTCCAACCCCTCCCATTACACTCAACGACGAACCTCATGGCTATGGACTCACCACTTTACCAAATGCTTCTGCTTATAAGGAGAAGAAGGATGTCGGCGATGTAGGCGCTGTTCTCTCAGAATTCTCGCCTGTCAGTTCGCAGATAGGGAAGACCAGTAATGGCAAAACTATCGACGAACCCAAAGCGGAGGTTGCAGACAGATCAATGGTATTGCCAAGTGAAGAACAGAATTCCAGTGGTTTGCAGAATGTCACCGGTGGGACTGAAGGTGTGGCCTCGGAGAAATCAGACACGGAAGATGGGGTCAAAGAAAGGTCGTTCAATGTCTTCGTTCCCGACAGGGATGCATTAAAGAAGCCAGTCGAAGAGACCGTTTTATCTCCATCAACTCCATCAACGCCGTCAACTCCTGGAGGCACCCCTTTGATGAAACGAGTGGAGCAGCTAGAGAAGAAGGTGCTATATTTTTGTGGATCTTTATGTGTTGAATACAGTCTAGAGTTCGGAATGGGGTTGTGTCAACTGTTCCTTACAGTGATTTCGGCTAGCAAACTTCAGAGTGGGCCCTTTTTTGAGAATGTAGCACGACTTAAAGAAGTCTTCTTCCTCCTGTCAGAAAATCTTTGTTTGAGATTCCTCACCTCTATATTTCTGATGTCGTTATTTGCTTTGTTTTACGTTACGCAATTTAGGTGCACTGCGTCTTGGTTGAATTCAAATACAATATTTTCAGGGAGGATAAAATCTGGAGATTGTCCGTTGGTGATTGAGGTCCCTAAACGAGTGCTTGTGGTTCTTATCCTAAAGAAAGTATGTCTGATCACATGGGTTATTGGGTTTGTTCGTTTTTCTTGAGAGGGAAAGGTCTTACAAACATGATTGGTGTGTGCTCCATATTATTTCCTTTTTCCCATCCGACACAGAAGATATGGTCCGCGGTTAGTAGACCTCTTGGTAGTCATCCGATTTTGGTCATGTGGTCTCTATGGACTTCGAGTTTGTTCACTATCTTTCTGTAATTTGGTATTTCCAACCGGGAGAAATGGTGATATCTGGACAGTGAGTACTTGAATCTCTGAAGGCTTACGTCCTGATGCACCAGTCCTTTCACCGTGTGCGGAGCTCCGTGTAGTTGTCGGCGTGTGAGCCTTTTCCTAAATGCACAAATTAGAGAATTTTCATCTTAGATCTAGTCACTTTCTGTTTCCCGCCTTTGAGGACATTCAGCATAGAATCTTCCATTTAGTTTTAGTGCAGATTTGTGAAGTTCAGAGATTTATTGTCAGAAACAGTATGTTAGTAGATAACCCTCAACCTCAAAGCTAGTAAACAACAGGGGTGTTTTTCAGAGATCTTGAGAGAAAGCAGCCCCCGTCTATTGTAGCATGGATCTAGAAGTGCAACAGCTGACACTTGCAAAGAAAGTGCGAGCTGCTGACTTCAAGACACTCAAAGCAATTTGGATGCAACTGCTTCTTTAGTCTAGGTAGATGATAGCAATATCCCGACTGAAAGCTGGATTGCAATGCCTTTGATACACAGCTCGCTCAATTTGAAGACAAGCAGAACAGTCCAAAATCACAGAAGAGTTCAACAGGGCCTTCATCACCCCGTTCAAGTCTCGATAGACCCTCCAGACTCGCGCGTCATACTCTTGAGGAGACACTATCGAAAGGCTCGCTTCTGGACCGTGTCGCTGCTCTTGAAAGAAAACTTGGTCATGTGTTATCTTTGGTAATTCGGTTCAAACAAAGCCCTCTTTCAAAAATATTACTGATGCCTCTTTACCCGTGCAGTGCAGGATATCATAAGCTTTGCCACAGAACTAGCTATCATCTCACTTCTGACACTACTTTCAACTCTCTTGATACTCTTGTGCAGCCTGGCGATCTTCACGGTCAAGATGTATCTGCAGGTGCAGCAGTTCTGCCTGCAGTAAAGGCGGAAGCTCCTGTAGCAACGGAATTTGGATCGAACAATTCTACGCAAGAAGAGAATGTAAAAGCTCCGTTAAAACCTCTCAAGTTGGAATATGAAAGGATTGCTCTTCCAGTATCCAACTCCGAAGTGCAGTCGAAAGCTGCCGAAGATTCTATTGAACCGAAGGAATCCACAATGCAGAGAGCCGTAGAAAACCCGTTGAGTGCAAACACTGCCGAAGACCGGCACAAAGTTAAGGTCCCGGAAGGTTCTACGACGTTGAATTCCTCACAGAACTTGAAGGCCTCACAAAGTTCTAGAAGTGTGAACTTCGGTCCGTATACTCCGCCTACAATTACAACAGCTGAAATGAAGAGTACACCCGAGATACCTGTTCCGGAAAAGGTCAGTTATCCACTTTGAAAACTTTATGAACAATATGCGTGTCAAGATAAGTTATTCCTTTTCTATATGTATGATGAATGTAAGAATTTTCAAATCGCTGGTTTATAGTTTTTTTCCTGTTCATTAGCCTTTGAAATATAAGCCTTGCATACAGTATTATTGATACAGACTCTGAAAATGAGATTATTCATTGAGACATCAACGAGTATCTTGACATTTCTTTTACTCCTCTGATGATCGGAATTGCAAATTAATCCACCACAAGACGGACAAATTTCACCCTTCAGTAGACTACATAGCTCCTCGCATCTTACGTTTTGTACCATTCACTCCCTTGGTGCCTGCACATGTCAGCCTGTAGGTTTCAGGCTATGCCAGGCTCATGCTAATGAGTACGTTTGAGGTCCATACGAAAGTTAGTTCCTAAAGTGTAACACCTGCGATTGTTTGAGGAGATGCTTGCTGAACATTGAGTCTTTGTGAAGTAGATAATGTGTCATAAATCCTTGCAGAGATAACGTGTCAAGTCTTGAACCTTGTACATTATTCCTCTATAAGATGCCTTTTAGATACAGCCGAATAGATATCTTTAGGCTGCTGAACAATTTGGAGATAAAAGTCTTGTGTATGGTGAAGCTCATTCTGAAAGTGTTAGGATAATAAGACGTTGTCTAGTAACTTTACAAACTTTTTCTAGATTTGATTAAGGAAAAAAAGTTCTCAACAATCATCCATCCGCTGTAGCTTACGATCGTGAGGTCAAAGACCTGGCATCGAATAGCAGATGATGACCTGAGCAAACAATCCAACTCCGATCATATCAAAGGAGGATACATTTTTTTCCAGTCTGATGCTATTCACTACAACCAGCTGTAGCTTTAGCGTGTCAGTCAGGTAGAGCACTTGGCATTTAACAGCAGATGATACTTTGAGCAGAAAATCCAACTTCGATAAACGGAGAGGGTATCAAATTTGTCAGATGTGATGCTATGGCTCTTCTATAACTTTTTTGGACTTAACAATATGAGGTAGGCTTTGTTCTACGCAAACTTCCATTGTCGAATCTTGTCTGTTACAAATTTTTTGGGCAGCATAGATTGAACCTTATTCCACTTTTGGACACTGGTCATACTCCTCATTTGTATTAACATCATTATCCAGCCACACAGTCACTTCGATGTGAAGAATGGTTTATATAAGAGCTAACATTTACTGGAGCCAGTTTCTAGTGTGTTAGTCCTTTTTCTTGTTCTACATCAAGGAAACACTTCGTGAAGGCCAGGCTTGTGAGAAGCAGTGGTACCCTTATGCACAGAAACGAAGTTACCCAACGAGGAAAAATTAGTTATGATATGGGCTTATGGGACTGGTCTGCCATGTGTTCTTCTTGCTGAGCAGTGTGTTCTCGTATTATTTCACATCTGAATTAAGCAACTCTTATTGCAGGTCCCAGCAAAAGATCCAGTTCAGCCGCAGCAACAACCTCTAGTCTCAATGAAGAGTTTGAGTTTACGATTGAGGAACTTAAAATCCGAAGGTCCTGTCAACAAACTCAAAGCACGGTTCAGAACTTGTTTCGGAAAAGGTGGAAAGAAGGAGACTGCTGTATGAGAAGGGCAAGGTATTTTGTATCATATTCCAAAGTTGGTCTATTGTCTCTAACGAGTGCATAATTATCAATGAGAGCTGGAAATCCCATATCTGGGCTGTATTCCCTGCCTTTTGTTGACGTAGCTTCCTCTACCTGGTAAATACTCGCTTCGAATTCCAAGGAATTATTACTCAGGCTTTATTATCTGCCCTGGGTTGTATCATGAATAGTCGATTTTATCAGTCGTAGAGTTCACTGTCTTGATCTTCCGAGATTCCCATATCGATGAGATTTAATTGTTGTAGTAGTAGTCGGGAATAGTTTAGTTACATGAAAGACTGAAGACAACAGATTTAATTTTGCTAGGTACACAGAGGTAGAGGAAACGAAAGGTGGGTGTTTAGGTAGACCCCATATTTGGTCTAGTTGAGCTTACACGTGACACTGGTGGCTGATATTTCGTAGGAGATTTGTCTGACTACGCGTATTTTCTTGTTTATGTAGATTCATCAATCAGGTATATATCTTTTATATACTGACCGATCATAGTCTCTTATATGGATTGCTGAGCCTAGTGCATGTATCATTATCGTATCGAATAAAAACTTCACGATTGCCGGCCGTTTGCAATGTTTGCAATGATGTATGCGACTCATGGTGTGGGTGAATTGTTCGTAAGATGTTGTCATCAGTTAGGCCGGACACGTAATAGTGCCGCTTCTATGTTCTGTATGGCATTTACGAGTATCGGACGACTGCGAAGAGTACGTTGTCATTATTGGGGTTCTTCATCCTGTTTACAAATCGAGGTACACTGGTACTTCTTGGTATGAAATAAAGAAAGAGCCCAGCAATCATGAAGATTGATCCTACAGCTTTTTTACCTTTCCCCTTGAACATGGAATTCAGTATGTCACTGCCGAACAAAAGACATCGGAGAAGGAGGTAACACCCTGGACCAGAATGATGAGGAAGGAACTTTGAAGCAACTTTGAAGCAACTCTTGCGGTTTCGGTTGAAGCTAAGATCGCAAACGGTACTAAGATCGCTTCTTTCTTGCTTGAAGCAAACCATCAAAGGATACGGCATTATGATGCCGGCGGTAGAAATTCTTTGGATGTATGTTATTCTAAGTTTCGGTTCGTGCCATCAAACACTAATACTGTTTTTTATTCTATATCCTTAATTAAATTCTTGCATGTCTCTTATCTAACAATCATACTAAGAGATTCAAATGCCCGGTATGACTGTATTAAACACTTCAAAGAAATGATTTCTGTCCCTATTCCCTGTTATTAGGGAAAAATCCTATTCATATATTAGAACATACAGTACATGGTATTAACGGAATATGAGTTTGTAAGACTATATAATTCATAGATCCAGTGATACATCAGGTATTTTCTTTAGATTACAGACATTCTCCTATATATATAAGACTGATTCCGTATAGTTTTTGTGAGGAAAGTTTTCGTTGTATCTCAATTACAATGAATGATTAATCATTTTCAAACTTTGACCAGATATTAGTTGAAATCTCAACAATTTTCATTGTGGCATTTTACTTCTTCAATTGTAATTGTTATTAATATAGCACTCTGTTTATATATATAGAGTCACATTATCAAATAGATATTTGTGTATCCATGTACAAGGTGATAGATATAAAAATTAAAATTATGGAGTCTAATACAACCTGGTTGGATAACTCGAAGGGCTTTAAAACTTGTATGATCTCCAAAAGATGGACCCTACCAAGTCCAGCGAAGAGGTAAATTCCAACATGACTATCACAAGAAAACATAACATATCATAATTATCTAGGAAAAAGGAAGTAACCACAAAGGGTAGAGAAGACGCCAGGATGTTTGACAGCCCTTTTCATCCTGTCCTAAAGTTCTTAGCGGTTAAGAATAAACGGTGCAAGCATAATGACTGATTTGCAAAACAACCAGAGAGAGCAGTCAAGATGAACGGTCAGAAGATTAAGATAAAGGGAAATGATAAAGATTTCACACTACACAAGGCAAGTACCGCAAGTGACGTCCTCAGATCCCTCTATTAAGCTTTTGCAGACTTGACCAACATGAAAGTCATATCACCGCAGCTCGTCTTTAGCTGCACGCAGTCCGCTTAGTAAACCAGACATGGTAAATGGTAAATTTGAGAGGGAGCATAAATGATCAGTGAAATGTGCAACATCCATTGCTAACCCCTTGCGATCCAGAAGCGCGGACGGCAGGATTCGAACCTGCGCGGGCATAGCCCAATTGATTTCGAGTCAATCCCGTTAACCACTCCGGCACGTCCGCTGGATGACATCTGCAAAACAAATTTTGTATTGATTCACTAAATTTTTAGTTCGAAAGTAAGATAATCCTTGATCTTTAGAAAAGATACTAAATCGTAATAAAATTGTTGCAAATTATTCTTGATTAATTATTTACTATTCTTTGTTCCTTCTTGAACTCTCTCTGTTTTTCTCTGTGCAGGTTGCTCAACTGATGATTGAAAGAGAGGATCGCTGGAAAAAATTGTAGATAATTTTGTGGTGTGAAACCTTAACATGAAAGTATCCAGAGAATATATTGTTTTCTCAAGATGAAGATATAATTTATATACACATATAATTTACTTATATCTACACACAATACAGTATCTGGCAGGTAGCCCTCAGCAGTTTTCGAGTTCCATATTTCAGGAAAATGTTTTTTCAGAATATCGTTCGTAACTTCTCACTGTATAGGGTCGTGCAGTTTTTAGTAGTAGTTAGTGTTTTCGTAGCTAGTATATCTAAATTACCAACGAATGCACTGACTACTACAAAGAAAGTCTCATATTCTCGCACCTGCATTTCCAGTCACTGTGACCGACCTCCACAATTTCGAGTGGTCGAAGATAATGAGAAAGGAAAAAAATTTCCGCATGGAAGGTACTGGTAAGAAGCAAGAATGTTTTGTTTTTCTCCTAAAGGACATACCGAACCGCATATAAATGAGGTCAAGAAAAGTGAGCTTACCATTCCTTCCATGAAGTATTTAAACTATAAAACTCAGCGATGAATGATGGAGATACTCATATTTCTAATAGTCAGATTCATATGAAGACAACGTACCTCATCGCGGATATTCAACGTTAATGTGCTGAAATTACCACTAGATAATCTGTATCAATTACAGCTATTCAACTTTGAGGAGATCATTATTAGAAGTTTATTACCAAATTTTTTCTAAACATCAGTCAAGTGCACAGTTTTCCAATCAGAAAATGAACAAATAGAGAAATGTATTAAAGAATATTTCAATATTCTGTACTTTGTAAAACGATAGGTATATGCAAGTTATATACTTATAATCATCTAGACAATTTGTAGTTCTGCAAAGAGTTAGACTGCCACAAAAGCTTTCGTTGACACTTTAGAGTTTCTTCAACTATATATATTTTGTTTCCGTTGACATAGTCCACAGCGACAAACTTTGAATATCAATGTAGGAGTGATTGCTTGTGCCTTCTTGAATTTTTGTGATTTTGCATAGAAAGTCTTCAATGTATTCAATAAAAGTACTAGATTGTCATTGTGACTATGCATAACGACGCTTTAGAGTTTTGCTATAGGATGACTTCCAGAAATTTTGATGTGAGTTGTTATATTTCAATCTTTCATTTACATCTTCAAATAGCTACTTCAAACAAATGAATTTTTTCATGAAATTCTCAAAGCTTCAAAAATTTCAATACGTTACTCTTTTTCAAGCTTTGCAGATAGTTTACAATAGTTTTTGCTATGTACTTTCAAATATCTCAATGGGTTCATGTTGGCAAATTTTTCACTTCAATTTTCCAAATATCAAACGAGCAAGAAGACATCATGCACACTCTTGTGTATCAATCTTGTCATAATTTTTAAATTTTCAATCCAATCAATGCAAAACTTTACACTAACATGTAATATTACTGATACATCATTTAAAAAATTCTATTGTGAGAAAAAAAATTTATAGCAAAGAAATAATTATAATTAAGCTTGTGAAAATTAGATAGATCAATATCAATCTTGTAATTCTGACAATGAACATCAGTTTTCATCATGCATTCACAGCTATCATCATTTATGCTTAATTTTCAATTTAAAATAAGCTTAGCTCAAAAAAACTTCCAATGATAATCTTTAATATATAATAAATCATTCAAAACATGTGATTAGTTTTTTGAAAATTTTTTGAAAATTTGGAATTTCAAAAAAAATATATGTATTTTTTCAAATTTTACTTTTTCAGCTTATGCACAGCTCATTGAGTTTACAATACATCACTAACTTCTATCAAACATTACAAGTTTATAATAACAAGGTATAAATAAATATTACAAAAGAGTTCAACAAATAGATCAATTAAAACTTATAATCTTTGCCAAATATCCTTACAACGGAATCAATGTAAGTTGTATTAGGATACCAAATATGATAAATCCAATTTGAGCTGTTAAAAGTTGAAACAATTGACATGAAAACATCCACTACTTTCTGTCTTTTACTATCATCAAAAAAATATGTTGAACTTAGAGCTTACAGTATTGGAACACTTGACAATGTCACCAGAGAACTAGCCTTATATAGGGAGAGTTACGGAACACAATAGAAGAGTAAGAATGTCGACAAACTTCCGGCAACGTGTCACGGAAGTACCGACACATGTCACTCACGCAATGTCTTCCACGGAAGACAGATGTACAATCAACGATACTGAATAGTCCTTGCCGTCCTATATCGTATCTTAACACTCCCACGCGGAAAGGATCATTCAGTTCACCTGTCACATGGGTGGACTACACACCATGCGTGGACCGCATGGAATTCCTTCCTATAACATTAGCAAATCAATAGCCTCTTAATCATGCTTCAATCCCAGCCACCGGGGACCAACACGACAGGCTCTACACGACCAGTGCCGTCAACTTGCATGAATTGTCTCATAGATGCTCACTTGATGCCCATCCCTGCCCTGCATGCCACAAAGCTGTTAGCAGGTAGCGGCTTGGTGAGAATATCAGCCATCATATCCTTAGTAGAGATATAAGACACACTGATCTCCTGCATCTCCACACGCTCACGCACAAAGTGGTAGCGCACATCAATGTGCTTTGCCCTACTCTGCACGATAGGATTCTTGAGCATAGCAATAGCTGATTGGCTGTCACTGAACATCGAGACAGGTGCCTTTGACAGCCCATAATCAGCCCGTAGCTACTCCAGCCACAGCCCCTCACTTGCACCGCTGGTGAAAGTCATGATCTCTGCATCCATGGCAGAGAGAGCCACTGTCTTCTGCAGCCTTGAGCTCCAACTCATAGCTCCACCATTCACCAGGAGCATATAGCTTGTGGTTGAGCGCTTGCTGTCAAGATCCCCATCAAAATCTGCATCACAGAACCCCTTCATGGTTGTGTCACTTCCAGAGTATAGAATCCCCAGATCCTTGGTGCCTGCTAGGTAACGCAGCACACTCTTGGAAGCGGTTGAATGCTCTGTACTTGGTGCATTCAAGAATCTGGACAGTAATCCCACGGCTTGGGCAATGTCTGGCCTAGTGCAGTTGGCGAGATAGTTCAGCGAGCCCACCAGCTCCTGATTGTGCTTGAGCTCTACGGCCCTTAGTGCCTTACTAGCCTTGGTTGCTTGGAAACCGACGCCCAGAGCTGTTGCCTTGGGTGCACAGTATGTCATCTGCCACCTCTTCAACAGCTCAACAATGGCCTGACGCTCAGATAGCTTGAGCATAAGCCGCTTACGATCACACAACACCTCCATCCCCAGGTAGTGCTTAGCATCGCGCATGTCCGCGATGTCAAACACCTTGCGCAGCGCTGACTTCAAATCCTGCACCTCATCTAGGGATGCAGATTCAGACAGGATGTCATCCACATGCACTGAAGCAAACACTGCTTTTGGATTCAGCTTGTGGAACAGAGCTGGGTCATTAGTGGACACTTGATACCCTGTTGTCTCTAGCACACCCTTCAACCGCTTGTACTAGGCACGCGGTGCCTGGCGCAGACCATACAAGGCCTTCTTCAGCAGCCACACCTTGCTAGGCCCACCTTCTGCATAACCAGGAGGCTGCTCCATGTAGATCTCCTCCTCCAGATCCCCATACAAGAATGCAGTCCTTACATCGATTTGATGCACTTTCCAATCCTTGGCAGCTGCTAGAGCCAACAGCATCCGGGTGTTAGCCTCTCGGCTTGTTGGAGCAAACACCTCAGAGAAGTTCACACCTGGACGTTGCATGAACCCTTTGACAACCAGCCTGGACTTGTATCTCACAATCCTGCCCTGGCTATACTTCTTGAGAGTTCTCACAAAACGAGACTGTAGCACCCGAGCGCCTTGAGGTCAATCCACCAGCACATAGGTGCCACACTCCTTCAGCCTGCCCAATTCCTCCTGATCAGCATCGTGCCACTTGCTTGCACCAGTCGCTGGTGGCTCAGGCCCAGTTGATACCGCCCCAATTGAGTAGACCCCGACTGATGCTATGTTAGCACCGACATGGGAAGGAGGAAGCAGGAACATCTCAAATTCATCCACCTAAGGCACACTGACAGGGCCAATGACCGCATTGACGGACTTCCACTGCCCCCACCCAATTGCTGTGACCATGTCAGCATATCGCTCAGGTGGGTTCCTAACACGAGTGGGCCGTAGTCCTGCTGTGTTGCCGTCACCAACAGGTCTCCCATGGTTCTCTAACTCAACCTCACTGTTACTGCCAGCGCGCAAGAGACTCTGCTCAGGAGTGCCCAACATGGCACTGGCATCATCATCAGATGCAGCCGGTGCAGGCGCAAGTGCAACGGTTGCTGGCAGTTCAGCTGGCTAACCAAAAGCTTCATCAGCATCTCCTACCGCCTCCGCCAGAGGAACCGCCTCAGCTGCGCTGTCACCCTCAGGACATGTGGTAACCCACTTTTTGTTTTTGTGCAGAATTTAAAACATTTTTGAAAGACAGTACCGCAGCAGCGACCGTAAATAGTAATCGGTACATTTAAATAGAGTGAAAATGGAGAATCGCGGGTCTCGTAGAATCTCATAGAATCTCGTAGAATCCAGGAGTTGGGCGCAATGTCCGGGACAGGCGCCCCGGCCCGAACGACCGATTCTGAGGGGAATCTCCTTCGGCGCAAGGCGGAGAATTCCTCCCAGGAGGGAATTCTTCTGAGGGATTTTCCTAGCGCCGAAGGCGCTAGGGAAATCCCTCAGAACTTATTCAATTCATAACGCCTTGACTTGATTAGGAATTTTTTGGAAAGAGCTCAACGCGCTTGTTCTAACGAGCCCAAGAACGCTTGGAACGGATGAGGGTTCAAGGAGTTACAATTGTCGGAAGATACTGAAAGGGAGCGCCTTTGGCGGAAGGGCTAGGTCGACGGACGAGCCGCCTTCGGCCCAAGGGTCAACGCCTTTGGTAGTGAACTCCTTCGTACAAGCGCCTTCGGCGCCAGCGCATCAAGATTAGGTCAATGCTTTCGGGGCAAGCGACTCCGTACGGTCTGCCTTCGGCCGAACGCCTTCGGCGGTACGGACACGTGCGCCTTCGGCGGAACGGAACTCCTGCGGCAAAAGTGCCTTCGGGGGGACAAGAGAGACCAGCAGAAAGGACAAGACCAGTTGGCTACGGTCAACGCCTTCGGCTCAAGCGTCTTTGGCGATGCACCTACGTCGACGGACGTCTTGAAGGATACGCCTTCGGCGTTGCAAGTCAACGCCTTCAGCGGTAAATGTTCGCCTTCGGCGCTGCGAGTCAACGCCTTTGGTGGAAGAGATCCTCCTTCGGCCCAACGCCTTCGGCGGTGCGGGAAAAGACAGACATGAGAGTCGGCCAGAAGCGAAGGCCTCCATCGCCGCGCCTTTGGCGATACGCCTTCGGCGCTGCGCGAATAGGGCTACGTCGACGGACGATGGAAGAAATCGAATTCAATTTTTGAGCGTGTAAGCCCGCACAACGGCGGAGCGTGAAGCCGAGCGTGCGAGAGGGGGGTCGTTATGCCTTTAAGCCGGCGCAGCAATCAAGTGAATCGATCCCCACGTCAAGTGTCGAAGATGAAATCTTGTGAGCCGAAGGCGGGCGACTCATTCTTGAAATTGCGATTTTGATTTCTCGCGAGAGCTGCGCGCGCACGCAAATTGGCAGAGAGCAATCATCGGAGAAGGCGACGCGCGGAGACTTGCAAGGCAGAGAGAGAGTTGAGTGCGCGACTGCGAGAATTGAGTGAGAGTGGAGCTCGCAGAGGGATTGCATCCGCGTGCAAGAAGCTTGAGGATAGGAGAGGAAAGTTTGCGGACTTCTGAAGTGCGCGGTGACATTTCAAGAACGCGATGTCGAAGGCAACGCAGCTTCGGATGATTCCGCTGAAGCTTCCGCAGATTGGGCTGCGCGCTTTCCAGCACGAGCTGACTGCGGTGAAGCTCGATTTTCTCCTCTGGAGTTGGAATTACGTGTGCCAGGACATGGTGCGCGAGTGGCAGAAGGAGAGAGACCAACCTACACGCGGATTTCGACCGCACGTAGAGCGATGGGTCATCCCTGACTGGGAGCAAGTGTTGGGAAGATGCGCGGGAGAGGACTGGCATCTCCTTTTCGATAGCGAAAGCATCAAGGTCACAAAGGAGGAGGAGATTTCCTTCGCGGCCCTTTTTAAGAGCAGCAAGTCCAGCAAGAACGGGTACAAGACCCGGGACTACAAAGATCGCTACCGCAGAAATGTCGCGGTAGCACTTCTCCAGCTCTTGCAGCCGCACAAGACCACCTACATCACTTCTTGGCAGGTGGTATTCGTGGAGGTGGCGTTGATCGGAGCTACAATTGATTGGGCTCGCATCCTGTGAAGATAACAAGGCAGCATGCGTTTGAGGAGAAGGGGGATCGATCAATCACCTCTCCGTCTTCTTGATCAATTTCTATCGGTCGATGGGTTGTCTAACCGCGACCGAGCAAGTTCACTTTCCATTGCTGTCACGCAGCAATCCGGAGCGGTATGTGAAGGACGTCAAGGTTGACACCGACGAAGAAGAGACCACTGCCTCCACGCCACCAGCCCAACCGAGAGTTGAAGGAGAATCGCTCGCAGCACGAGTGCCGCGGAAGTGAAGATGGGAAGGAGGAGCAGAGAAGGGCCAACATCGCAATTCGGCTGCTCTCAAACGAAAGCAGCCACTGCACGAGCTCTGCAGTCGGCCTAAGCAGAAGGCATGCAGGCTCGTGTTGCTTGCAAGTAGCGCGGAGACGGGGCGTGTCGCAGAGGGGAAGGACTCGCCATCCTCGGAGGAGGATAGGAGCGCGCGGACTGCAGAGAGTTCAGCGGACCTCCCTGCGCCGAAGGCACGGACATCTTCGGCGGAAGCAAGACGGCCTTCGGGCCAGGAGAAACGACACGCGGCACCGACAAATGTGCCGGCGGCGGATAGGTGTTCCGCGCAAGTACCGTTTGCGGACTCGCCTTCGGGGCTGAAGCCTTTGGTGCAGCGGAGGAAGGGGAAGGAGCCGGCGGATCAGACGCCTTCGGCCCAAGAGATTGTGAGTAGGGAGCCTTCGGGGCAAGCGCCTTTGGCGGAAGAACCGCCGGAAGACGAGCCTTCGGCTCAAGGGCCTTTGGCCCAAGGGACTTCGGGCTGCAACCTCCGGGCTGACTCTCACTCAGGTTTACCTCTGATGGCTTTGTGGTAGCGCATCATGGTTCTAGAAGACTAAGATTCATACTCTCACTCATGTCCCAAACACCTTCTCTTACAAACTCTCATGTATCACTCCAACTCACACACAACTCTCCTCACATCACCCTCTTCACATAAATGCAAACACACGTCGATACTCCAAGATACTCAAAAACTTCACTCCTTCATTACTGAAACAAGTCTTCACACATGACTCTCCAAACTTGCTTGAGAGGTGCTACTCTACCTCTCTATTTATACTACTTGAGAAGTTACCATAGTAACATGTGGTAATTTCTCCTAACTTACTTTTACCTAGGTAAGTTTGACTAACCTTCTCTACGTGGCAACATGCCATTGGCCTACCTAAACCTTCTAGAAGCTTCTGGAATCCAAGGTTGAGGTGGCGACATGCCATTTGAAGCTTTTAAACTTCTACAAGCTTCCTAGCCACTAAGTCAACATTAGACTTAGTCTAGCCAATCATCTTTCATACATTTAGTCAAACCAATCAAATCCAAGCTTCTAGTCAAATATCTAATCCCTTGGAATCTAGAACTTTTGTATAAGACAAAATAGAAGTGCTCACTCCTTGTAAAGGACAAAATAGAAGTGCTCACTCCATTCTTCTAGAACTCCGCTAATTATTCCGCCAACTATAGACATTGTAGCTAAACTTAGTCATGACTAGATAAACTTAGTTATAACTAACTAGTTTAGTCATAACTAGCTAGTCTTAGCTATGCCTTGGCTAATCATCCTTATTCCCTTGACCACTTCTAAGACTTAGTACATATGTGCAACACCCGGTCTTACATTTACCCCCGGACTAAGATTTCACTACGCCCTCGGAGTGAAAGAATCTGATCTTCGATGGAATAACTTCAACTTGTCGTGGTTGACTCGATCGAAGTGACGTCCTCCTAACTCCTTGATGTCATAAGTGAAATTTCCCCACACCTTCTCAACTATGAAAGGTCCAAAATACTTAGGAAGAAACTTTTTCCTAGCTCTCTTGTATCTAATTGCATCAAAGAGCATCACCCAATCACCTTCCTTGAACGGCTTCAAGTTCTGGTTTCCACTTCGTTTGTCGTGATACTTCTTCTGCAAGTGTTGAGCCCGCTCCACTCGTACCATGGCTAGTGCTCGAGCTTCCTCCAACTCCATCAATTGTTGTTGGCGAGACTTGATGGCTTCTGCTCCATTTGATTTCTTCAACCTTTGCTGGATTGTTGTGAATGTTGTCAAGTCAAACTGTATGGGAAGTTTTGACTCAACTCCATACACCATCCGAAAAGGTGAGTATCCAGTAGATGTCTTCCATGTTGTGCGATACTCCCATAAGATAGCATGGAG